AGTGGTGGTAAATGCGCAAGGTGTGTTCCGGGTCCGTCCATCGGTGGAGCTGGTGGCCATTCAGCCCTGCACCCTAAGGTGCCTTCACCTGAGGTTTGCCTTTAGCTCCTGCAGTCTCCTAAAGAGTGTGGCTATAATATCAGGGTGCCAGGGGAGGGGCCTAGTGTGCTGGGCACCTCCACGGGCCAGGCCGTTTCTAGCCAGCCTAGAAACCAGCAGCCTAGGGACACCGTGCCCTGTTGTACATGGGACTCTCCAGGGATGCTCCTGGTGGGGGGCCTGGGCTCTAGTGTACCCCAAATCTCCCGAGTCATCCCCAGGTGCAAGTGTGGGATGAGAAGCCATTGTCCATTCCTATCTCACAGACAAGGAAATGGAAGCCCCAAAGGTCATGCCACTTGCCCAGAGTCACACAGCAGAAGTGATGTGGCCACAGAACAAGAAGCTGGGAGGTGGGGGATAAAGAAGCAGAGTGTGGCCGGAGAGCCTCTCACCTGCGCAGCTGCTCCTCCCGGGGGCTACCCCCTACTCCCGCTCTGGCCCTGAAACCCCTTCCCTCCGGGTGGGATGCCAGTGTACCCCAACTTTGACACCATCTCCTTCGCTGGTCTCTGGTGACTTGGGTCATGAGCCTCACTGAGCTCCGCTGTCTCTCAGAAGGGAAGGCTCCCACCTTGGGGTGACCATGGCTCAGCCACCACACACACTGCATTGCCACACAGACTTGGCAAATCCCTCTGGGTTTCTTCATCTGCAAACTAAACTTGTCATTGAAAATATTTGCCCTCCTCTCTGGGCGGTCCAGAGAGTCGATGAGATAAGGTGGATAACAGTGCTTGGTAAACAAGAGGCACAGGGCAAATATTAGCTCTCCGTCAGGCACCGGGAGGGCCCCGTTTTGTCCCGCGAAGCACCCAGCAGGGACTGTCTCCATCTCAGCTCTGCTGTGACTGGGGCCATGACAGATGTCTGCAGGCCTTGGCTTCCTTGCCTGTCGAATAGAAAAACAGCATCCACGCCTTCTTCACTGGGCAGTTACAGGGAAGCAATGCATCGGCCCAGGAGATGCTTTACATGTAAAGCACCTTGTGAAGTGACTGGCACGGCCCTGCTGCCATGGTGTCTGAGGCAGGAGGAAGGCTTCCTTGTCTGCTGTCAGCCTCTCTCCTGGAGGCGCCCAGGCTCTGGCTCCCAGCCCCACCTCTGCCACTTGTGCTGTGTGTCCTCAGGCTCAGGAGTGGCCTCTCTGAGCCTCAGTTATGTGAAAAGAACCTCTTGTCAGCATTTTCCAGTGCCCGGAGAACCCCAGCAAGTGGCAGGAGTGTGGGAGCTGCACAAGGGAACCGGGAGGAGGAGCAGAAGGGGGAAGGGGCGGGGGCAGAGGCAGCCCCTTGAGTGGTCCAGGATCTTAGGGACAGAGGAATGGTGGGTTCGATCTGCTTCTGTGCCAGGACCCTGGACTTCCCCCACACGCTCTTGCACTGGTTCCCAGGTCCCGAGCAGCGCAGGGGAGGTTGGAGAAACCGGGGAGTGGGGCTGTTATGCCCTGCAGAGCAGGCTGCTGTGTGCCCCTCACCCACCTCAAGCCAGGCCCCTTTTCTCAACTGCCTGGCCATAGCAGTATCAGGGAGGGAAACTGAGGCAGGTCACACTAAATCAGCCTCTTGCCATGCCCAGGGCGACCGGCTGTCTGGGTTTGCCCTGGCGGAGTTGCCAGTTCCTGGGTTACAGAGGGGCTTTCCACGCCGAGCCCAGAAGGTGAGGTTTGTACGCGTGCGAGGAACTTGCCCAGGGCCAGTGGAGGCATCAAGAGAGAAGTACGTGTGGCATTAGGTATCCCAGTGGCCCATGGCACAAGTGAAAGAAATGAGTGATGTCAGTTCAAGCAGTCTACCTTCTTGAGCTCAGGATGTCGAAAATATTTGCATTTTTCTGTTGTTTTTTTTTTTTGTACTGACTGTTTGAAATCTAGTGTGTATTTTATTCCTACAGCTAGACTTGCCAAATAAAATACAGGATGCCCAGGTAATTATGAATATCAGATAATGAAAAAAGTTGTCACTGTATGTATTTCCCAAAAAGCTTTCAGTGTAAGTATTGCATCAGCTACACTTATCCTAAAAGTTGATTGTCCATCTGAGAACTGAAGTTACCTGGTAACTATATTTTATTTGCTACTTTGCAGCCTTGCTTTTTTTAAAAAAAGATTTTTTTATTTGTGCATACAGAACTGGGGTACAGACCAGAGGCTCAGGGGCAGGGAGAGGCTTCACCAGAGGCAGAGCGGGGATCAGAACTGGCAGATTTTTTAATTTCTCTGCAGAGGGGAGCAGCGGGCGGGTCAGGAGAGGTCTGCCACACCATGTGGTCACCTTCGGGGCAGGCGGGAATCGAACTCATGTGGAAGTGGCTTAAGTTTCTTAGTGCTGCGCTTTCACCTGCTGCGCCACCAGGCAGGGCCCTGCAGCCTCATTTTTAACACATCTGGCTGTAGAGGTTCATATTCCAGACACTTAGGCAGCCACCCAAACTCATGGTCAAGAAAGGGAAAGGACAGTTCTGGTGGAGTCTTGTGTGTCCCAGGGAGCCGGCCCCCCTCAGTCCCCCCACAGAGACCCACTCTTCTTCTCTCTCAACGGCTCAGTCCAACCTTTGCCCTTCGTCTGCCTGTTGCATTATCTGTCTTTGTCTTAGTGGAGCTTTCTGGAAGCAGCTCAACATATTCTATTCTGACAATCTCTTGGCAGGCCAGCAGGCAGCAGGGGAGAAAGTCCACTTCTCTGACAAATCCTGCACGTCAGCGAGTTTTTAAGTTCCAGAAAGGGGTCAGGGCCCGCGGGGGCAGCAGGGCAGGGCAGGGAGACAGACAGACGAGGTCCAGGGGCGGTCCGGGAGCCCCCCTCCTCCCAGGCCCCGCTCAAGCCCCGTTGCCAGGCCGCCATCTTGCCCCCCACACACTGAGCTGTTCACATGGGAGTCTCTGACCCTGGGTGTCTTTCTCTGCCTCAGTTTACATCCAAACAATACTGGGAAGTCGCAGCCCAGAGCCCCAGGATGGGGGAGGGGCTCCAGCAAGGCCACCTCCGGGCAGTGGCACAGCCGGAGCTGGAGCCGGAGGTAGGTCCAGCGGCAGCCGATGCTTGGTCACCGCTCCCCAGTGTTCCAGGGGGCAGGGCCCTGCGTGGGCTGTATGCCCACAACCAGGGGGTGGGGTAGGAAATCCCCGTTTGGGGGGGAAAGGCACTGGACTGTGGTGATGGCACACGGGTGACTTGGTGGTGGGAAGCCCAGGGGGATTGCAACTAAGGTGGAAAAAGGCACAAAATGGTGTAAAAGTAAACTATTATAAAATTAAAAAGAAAGAAAGAAACCCCCGTTTGGAGCAGAGGCCCAGAGAGTAGGTCAGCAGCCCGGTCCCCAGCACTCCTGCAGCCGGGCTGGAAGCAGTGGGGCACGAGCCTGCCAGAGCAGTGGGCTTCCGCTGCCCCTCCACGTGGCTGTGTCCCATGACCTGGGCCTGGAGCACTCCCGGGGCAGCGCTTCACCGGAGTTCAGGCAGCTGATGGCCACTTAACCCCACAACGCACCGCGCCCCCTCCCGGGCCAGGCACATGGCCCCTGCGGCCTGCAGCCCCCGGGAGCCCTTCTCACTGCAGCTCCTCACAGTGCCCCCAGCCCTGGTGCTCTCGGCCACCTACCAGCCCCTCCCCAGGGCAGCACCCTGAACCTCCCAGGGCCCCTCGTATCCCTCCTCCTCCTCCTGCTCCCCCCTCTCTGCCCGCCCATGGCTCCCTCAGGTTCCCGGCAGGTCTCTGTGTCTCAGGGGCGGTTCTCGCAGGGGCCCGTCCCGCCCTGGCCCGGGAAGGCACCCTGGGGTCAGGCCTGCCGGAGGACACACGTGCTTGTTCTGCGTGGGGCGTTCCGTGCTGCATGTGCCGAGGGCGGGCCTGCCTCCTCTGGGGCCCCCCGGGCCAGGGCCAGGGCCAGACACTTCGTGGGGCACACACTGTCGGGGGCAGCAAATCCACCATCAAGGCGCAGGGGCCTTGGTCAAAGCATCTGTGCCCGAAGCACAGCAGGTGGCAGGACTCTGCTTTTGCTTTTGGCATCAGGCGCCTGGTCAGCTCCTGAGCGTGTTCCCGTGGGCCCTGCCTTTGTGAGAAATGCTCCTGGGCCTTGGGCATTCATTCCGATTCCTGTCTAAACGGCATCGAGCCATTGTTATCTTGGCCGTGGGTGTTGGGGGCAACCCCCCCACCATGAAATTTTACATGCCACCCCAGGCCCCGGCTGCAGAGGGTCTGCCAGAGATGGCCCAGGCCAGAGAGGGTGCCAGGCCACCACGTCGCCGGTAAAGGAAATGTCCCCCAGTTGGCGAGGCCCCGCTCCTCCCCGCCCCTCCCTCCTGCGCCGTGTGCCCGCTCTGCTGGCCTGCTTGGGGCACGCAGGCACGCTGTCCTGCCTACTCAAAGCCCGCGTCCTGCTTTGGGGGGAGAGCGCGAGACCATAAAATAAGAAAGGCAGCCCGTGAGGCGCACGGCCCTGTACATGAGAACACGAGAACAAGCAGGCCCTGGCAGGCTGAGGCTTCCTCGGGCAGCGTGGCGGGCACCACTTCACCGTGTGCGCGCCCGGCCAGACTGCGACTTCGCTGCACTGTGCAAATGAGAACATGAGCTGTCTTGCCCCAGGAAGGGGGCAGGCTGGTGCTAGAGGGCTTTTGGGGGTGTGGGTAATCGAGAAGGTGGGGAGACGCCAAGTGGAATCAGGTGGAATGAGGTGGGATTCTTCCTCCACTCCGCCCGTCTAAGGAAAAGGCTCATTTGGGGACCTGGGGACCCAGGCTCACCAGCTGTGCTTCAGGGCTGGGGCTGGCCGGGTCCCATCCCACAGGGGCCCCTTTAAGGCCGGCCCTGGGACTGCGGGGTGACTGCCCCCCCCACCCAGATTGTGCAAGTTCATTCATCCTAACCCTGCTGACTCACGCTTATGAAAGTGATTTTCCAGGCCCCGCCCATCGCCCGCCTCTTCCCAGCCCGTGAAATACCCTGCTTTCCCCTGTCCTCTCACAGCCTCTGGGATCCCCACAGGGTAATGGGCATCCTGCTCCTGCAGGCACCGTGACCCCTGGCCCACCCAGTGCCCACCTAGTCCAGGCTCACCAGTCTCCCGAACCCCTGCTTGTCAGGTGAGTGGCCTGAACCAGGCAAGGGGCGACTGGGGGGAGAGGGGAAGAGGCGGTTCATCCAAGGCAGGGTGACCAGCCAACAGGTTGGTGGAGCCAGGCAGGGGGCCCCAGGTGGTCTGGAGCAGAGGTGCACCCGGCTCCCTCGGGGCCTGGCTGAATTTTCTCCCACCCCCAGGCTCATCCTCCACCACTCCTTGGTGCCCATTTTCAGGTGCCTGGCACCCTCAGTCCCACAGCTGCCCTGCTGCCCGCAGGCACCCTGGCTCACATGACGGCACTCTTGGCAGGAAAGAGGTGTGGCCAGCCTAGGCGTGCCGCCAGTGTCCCAGGGCCACTGGGCCCCACCTCTCCTGCTAGGCATCTGCCCCAGGGGCTCAGGAGCTGTCTCCTCACCGAAGGCTTGCAGGTGCTGAGAATAAGGGGCAGGCCCAGAGTGGCCAGGGGGCTTGGGCTCCCGGGCTCTGCGTAGGGAGGTTTCAGTGGCAGGGGAAGCATCATGACTGGGGCAGGCGCTGGGCCAAGGCTCACCTCGTGACGAGCGGCCGGGAATTCGGCATGACGGAGCACCTCCTTGTCCTCACCGCTCCACGGCCTCATGTCTTTGTCGAAGTCCTGTTATCATAACATCGCCCGGAGGGACCTGCCCGCCAGGTCTCCAGAAGGAGCACCGGTGGGTGCGGTTGCGAGCACTCCTGGGCGGAGGGCTGACATCAAAGTCACAGGAGCAAAGGCCAGCAGAGATGCCTGTAACCAGCACTGGACAGGTGTCCAAGCCTCAAGGCGGCCTCAGCTCAAAGGCCACAGATGGACAGATGCCGTGGACCCAAGGGCAACCTGGCCAGACACTTAGCTCCACTTCTCAGATGCTTGCTTGAGTTTGTGAATTTGAATGTTGGCCTTTTCCAGTCGACATTTGGCATCTTCAGCCAGAGGGACTTACGTGAAAAACTGACCGTCCCATCTCCACAGCCCAGCAAAGCATGAGGGAAGCGGAAGTAGCTGCCCTTTCCAGTGCTCGGTAGCAGGCAGGCAGCCGCGTTTTTCTGAGGTGGGGGCTCTAAGCTGCTCGGGACTTGGGGACAGCTGTACTGCCACATAGGAAGTGACCTCTGCATCGGCCTCTGGGTGGCGACCTCATGTTTGTGGCATCTGGTGACTTCTGGAGTGAGCACTGAACTCGGAGTCCCAAAGCCCTGGTGGTAAGTTGGGCCCAGCAGGTCCCGCCACACGTGATGAGGGCTGGTCCTGATCCCGCTTTTGGGGCCGGGGCCCCAGCAAGTACCTCCTCATGGTGACGGGAGGGCTCAGAGGGACCATGGAGGGGAAGCAGGCGCGCTGGGCCACTCATTTCAGGGGGCAGTGGGCACTGGGCCCAACTCAACTCCCAGGCCTCAGTGTTCTTGCCTGTAAAGAGGGTCCCCGTGAGGACAGGGGATGCTAACACATAGGGCATGACCAGCAAGGACGCTGCTGCTGCTTCTGGGGGCAGTGAACAGGCTTGAGGGCCCTGGGGGGCTGCTGGTGCCCGAAGAAAGCCCCCCAGGGAACTATAAAGGCACACCCAGCACCAGATTGCTGCTTAGCAACTGTCTCCTCCTGAGGGGAACAGCGCTGGGACAGAAGGGTCGGGTGAGAGGACAGAGACTTTCAGCCTGATCTGGGTGGGGGGAGCCCTGGAGGGAGCTGTCACCCCACTCTGCTGTTGGGGCTGGGAGGAGGCTGTGGGGCAGGATGACAGGGCCATGGAGGCTTGGTCCAGCTTGGTCCCAGCAAACTGGAGCAGACTTCAGAGACTGCGCAGGGCGATGGAAAGGTCGTGGCCTCCCCATCTCCACATCTGTAACGGAGCGTGGTCGAGGATTGTCACATCCCTAATAAACAGGGGCACAGCCACACTGTGCACCAAGTGTTAGTGCTGCGTGGCGCCTAGCGACTCCCCGAAAGTCAGAAATATTAGCCACTGGTTACTGTTGGTTTCAGTGGATGTGGTATCACCCCAAAATATGCTCTCCAGGTAAATGGCATAGCCCCGATGGGGATCCAGGCATGGAAAGGGTCTTGCAGTTCCCACTGTTTCTTGGGGGAAAGCTGGGGGACACATGAGGGGCAATGGTCCTGGCTACAGCTGAGGCAAGGAAAGAGGCTTTCAGAGGACCCCACAGCAGGGATGAGGGATGCCCCGATATGCTACCTCCCCCTGTGGGGCGCTGGGCATGCCCTGTACCCTCTGAGCCTGCCTTTGCTCGCCTGCTCGGTGGAGGGGATTCAGCCCCCTCAGATCACGAGCGGATCCGATGCTGTCACGCGGGAGTAAGTTCCTGGCAAACTATAAAGTGTCTGTGTGGCCATGGTAGGTGGCCCTCTGCCTGTTCCAGGCCGGCCCCACCATCTCCTGTCAGCCACCTCAAGGTTTTCCAAAAATGTGCACCAGTTGCCTCTTTTCCAAACCAGGGAAGGCACGTAAAAATCCTGTC